GAATTGTCTAGTAAGAAATTGTATTAAATACTCCTAAATATTTGTACTAAATAATAATAATAACTGTAAAATAAAAATAATAATTATACTAAAATACTCCTAAATATTTGTTTAATTAACAAAGTATATAGGTATTGAGCTACAGCATTGTATATGAGGTTATCGTTATTGTTAAATGTCTGTACTGTACTTATTCATAAAAAGAATTTAAAAACTTTTTTTAATTATACAACCAAATTTTAGGTAAAATTGTTACAATAATTTCATTAACAATTACAATAGATTTACCATTTGAAAATTTTACTTTTTCTTTAGTTTTATCACGACTTTGATTCTATGACAGAATTAAAGGGAGTTTATATTTCAAATATAATTTTTAACATTGCAGTCTGCAGTTGCCAAAAAACTGATTAACTTTTTACAATTGCAATACGAAAGTACTACGAGTGAAAAGGGTCTGGAATTGGACAAGAAGAGCTTCCGCGGGTTTCGGAAATTCTTTTATTACTGGGCAAGACATTTTGTTCTTCGTAACCTGGTTGGGCACGATGAAGAAGCGTTTGCAGACATAAAGCAAAAAAGATCATGCACAATGCGAGAACAGAGAACTCATTGTCACCAGTTGAAAAGGACTAGCGTGTGTCAGGGCTCGGACAAAAAGAGTTTCCGCAGGGGAAATATTGCTGGTGGAAAATAATTATATGTACACCTAGTGTACAATATTGCATGTAATTCCTATTCAAAGATTTGAGGAAAGTAAAATATTAAAATTTTATTAGTTTATTTACATTCTTATTTTCATAACGGAGTTTAACAATCATAACACATCGGTTATAACATATACTTCAAAAAAATTAATCTACAATATTGCATTAAAGAAGTCTCAAATAATAAATTCTTGAAACCATATAAGATTAGACATTCTGTATCATTTCTGTAATCAATATGTATATATTTAAGATATCAAGATTAAATAACTAATGAAGTCTGTTAAAAATTTTAATACAGTAGAACCTCAATTATC